GTTCATTTCTTGTTTATTTTTCTTTTGTTTTGGTTTATACAGATTTGACAGTAAAGCACTAAGCTTGAGTTAAGATGCATACAAAATTTATTTTTATTAACAACAGTAACATGTGCAAAATCTAATTTTTATATAGAAAATTTATATATTCCACTCTTATTAAATTTACCATTATTCTTCTAGTATATGGAACTGACCAACTTCAGTGATTATGTGTGATTTAGTAGCAAATTGAAGAAAAATTTGTTTTTCAAGGCACTTTGTGACTTCATACATAAAAAAGTGTAAAATTCTGACAAAATCTGATTTCTGGATGATTTGATATTTTATAATAGTGATTTTATCATTTCAAAATATAGAGAAAAAGTAGAAATGAATGATTAATAAGCCAATAAGTGCTCCTCTGCTGCAGTACTGGTTATAATTGTGATTTGATGTATTTTTTTTAATTTTACATAAGTGTTTGTTTACTACAAAGTATATTTTGGTCATCCCATTAAAAATAACATTCAAACTAGATCATTTTAGAGCTTTAAAGTACCGGAAATAGTTGTGTGAAATGCTTGAAAGTCATTGAAAAGTGCTTGAATTTCTCTCAAAAGGTTGTACAAACCCTGAAATGAATGATGTAATGCATTCGATTATTTCTACCACAACACCATGGTTACAGTGTGGTTACCATTTGGTCGCAGTCTGGAGCCCTGTAAAGCCACATGAAGTGTTGCATGTATTCTTCGTGCAGATGATTGATTTTGTAAATTTTACATAACAACATAATGTTGTCAGAATAAAAAATGGAATTCTCAACCAGTGAGCAGGCAGTGCAGCAGCGCCTACGATAATATCGTAACTGTTGTTTTAACGATGTGTCCCAAAAAAGTTTTTCTATGTATGGAAATTGAAAATTAATTGTGACTTCATGTATCAAATCAAATTGTGAGATCCCAAATGTTTCCCATCCCTATTTTAAACAACATTTTTTCATTCAGTGCTGTTTTTTCATTCAACTCACTTTGGTTTGGAACAGTCTCTGAAAAGCTACCCTACAATTTCACTCTAATGACCAACATTAATAACTAATTACCAAGCATCAAACAATCAACAGCATATAAATCAGACGAGCACCTTGGGCAAAATGCCAAGCCACATCTGAATGACTGCTTTCATCACAATCACATACAAACACTCTCAGCCAAACCTAAAAACCCTCAGAAGCAAAAGCTTCTAATTGTATGAACTTTAATACAACCGCATGAGACCTTTCAATCATCTCCATTCATACTGCTTACTGTGGTAAAAATTAATTAATTCTATTTACAAATGTATTCTTACATCATCCCACTGTCTTGTTGTCCAATGAGAAGACAGAAGTAAGATGTCAGTAACCTCCCACTTTTTGGGTGCATTTGGTTCCTAAATATGTTTTTTCTGTTCATGTTCTCCATAAGGATTTATGAATTTAGTATTATTTATATATTATGTATTAATATTTTGAATTTGCTTTTATTTTTTATTTTCAGTTTTAATTTTAGTTTAATTTTTAGTCATTTTGTTATGTTCTTTTGTCATTACATATATATATACACATACATACATACATACATACATACACACACACACACACACACACACACACATATATATATATATATATATATATATTTAGCGTTAGCTTATTTTTTATTTTAGTTTTAATAATTTTAGTAAGTCAGCATAAACTTAAATTTTATTTAAATTAGTTGCCAAAGCAACATTTCTCATTTTCGTTTGTTTTTAATCTAATATTTATATATTTTTTAGTGTCAGCTTTATTTCAAATACTGAAAAATGACTTTTAATAGTTTTAGCTAACAGAAAAAGGATAAACGAGTTTTAAAGAATCAGAAAAAGAGATCTAAGCTATGAACTAAACCAAACAGCTTTGAAATTAGTTACAGCATTACCAACTTTGATTTGAATCTAAAATGTATTTGAAAATCGAAAAAAGCTGAAATTACAAGACTACATATACAAAGTCATGAACTGCACATCCCATGATGCACTGTGAATGATGTAAACAAATACAAATGGTACAATATTAAACTACTGACTAAACGTCAACATGCAATTGAATAAAATACGACATATTTGAAGTGTATTACAAAATAATAAGCAAGGCTTGTAAGTTTTTGTTACAAATAAATTTCTGCAGAGAATAAATAAATGGGATTTTTACTTCCAGAACCTATACTGCTTAAGAAGATCTTAAACAAACCTAAGACAACATCTCTCAACAACGACTGCAACTTAAGACCGCTGAACTAGCGGGTCGCCTCTGAATCTCTTCAATAGATGCACGTCTCCTCGTCTTTGTGTTCCTTCCTGATTAAACAACATCTAGTTTTTCTCTGCAGGTCTGTCTATATCTACATCTTCTCAGATGAATTTTGAGGGAATAGTTTGAGTGAACACACTTTTTCTCCCCATAACTATCTTTCCATCTGGTCCTTGTTTAAACCAACCAATCAGAGTTAAGCAGCCAGAGAAGGCTCCCATTTCAAGGCCTGTGTGTGTTGGACTGTCATTCTATCTGGATGTACGGGGTGTGCTAGTGAATATATATGTGTGTGTGTATGTTGGAAAGAGAGTCCTATTTCTGTGTTTCTGTGTGTGTGTGTCCACAAGCATGAGTCTGTGCAGTAATATACGCCTGTGCGTTGTTAAGTACAGGTTATGAATTTCAGCTGTGGAGCCTCGTAAATATTCCATTACATGAAGCGGTAATGACAGAGCCGAATTCGCTGTTATGACATTGAACTTAAATACAAGAGACAGACAGACAAACTTAAGTAAACACACACTTCCACAGACGCTTTAACTCTGCAACTAAATCATTTAGCAGCAGATTGGAAATAAGTAAAGCAGCAGTGCGAGATCACTCATTCACAGACCCACTGAATTCCACAGAAAGCTCAGCAGATTTCCGCAGAAATCGAACACCCTTCATTCACAAAATTTGACATGCCACGCAACCTTTGCAAGTTTGAATTAAATACGAAAAATATATTGTATGTGTATTGTATAGTTTTTATGTGGATAGTAGTTGGGCTGCACGATTTGGGTGAAATAATTTAATTGCGTTTTTTTTTCCCCCAATAAAAATTTGACTGCAGTTTAAAATGTGATTTAAAAAAATGCAGATTTATTTCAATTAATAATGCATGCCTACCTAATAGGTCTGCATGGTTGCTACATTTGTAACATGTGTATTTCCATATAATTTAGTATGTACACATCAATGTGAATACCTAGTGAGCGATCCTTGGTCTGGTTAGTAGAGCGAACCACGGGCAGACTGGCACGAGACCGGGAGCCTCGGGTGAAAGCGATAGGCATGTCGCACTCAGACATGACCTCCAGAACATCTAGAGAGACCAGTGAGCCGTGCTCCAGCTGATCCACAAACACAGGGACTGGACTCGGACACGCCACACTCTGCTTAGAGCCTGTCTGTAGAAGGAAAAAAAAAAGTTTAAATAACATGCAGGATTTGATGATACATAATTAGTGCAATTCCTCAAAACCATCTTTGGCTTCTCTGAATAACAGATCATACCAACTTCAAATGTTCAGTCTGCTTTTTAGGACAGTGGTTGGTTCAAAGTGTCCCACTAGCACAAACTAGCTTGATAAAACCATTTTGATGAAAATATATCATACAAGCTTAAGATGGTTTGTAACTGGTTCAAAGTGGTTTACCATCACAAACCAGCTCGATAAAGTCGTTATTGTCTACTGTGCTGTAGAAAAAACAGATCATACCAGCTTGAGATGGCCAGACTGTTTTTAGGACATGGCAGGTATTCTTTAGCTGGTTCAAAGTGCTCTACCAGCACTAACCAGCTTGATAAAGATGATCTACCAGGTCAATCTCTGTGCCACCAACTAGTAGACCAAAATCAGGGTTGTCCATCTTTGTCGAGCAGCTTATGACCATCTAGACCAGTCAATGGACAGGATACACTCTTAAAAATAAAGGTTCTTGATTGGGATTAATGATTTCATGAAGAACCTTGACATCGATGGAAACTTCCTACTGCACAAAAAGTTCTTTATAGTGGTTCTTTATATATATATATATATTTTTTTTTTATATACATATATATATATATATATATATTTTTAGAACAAATTATTCTTCTATGGAATCACTGTGAAACCTTTGTTTTTTGGAACCTTTATCTCTAACAGTGCAAAACCTTGTAAAACCATCAGAAGCTGGTTTTAGCTGGATTTCCAACAGGGTTTTCTTCACTACATGCATGAAACTTGAACCACTCATTGTGACCAAAGCATAATTTGTATGAATACATTAACATTTTCTGAAACACACACCGCACATTTAATTTAAAGCGACAGCCGCCGGTCAGCTGTGAAGACTGCAATCAGTCATGCAGATCAGACTGACTACATACACCAAAAACTAGATTCAAAGTGTGTCACGGTGCGTGCGGGGAGATGAAGCGAGGACTCAAGTGCAGGAGGAATGGTTATTTATTTTGATAATAATAAAATGAAACAAAAACAAACTCAAACCACCCCGAGGGGGAAAAACAGACAGGCAGGCCTAAAGCTGCACCACATGCAGACACAAAACACACACAATGAGAAATGACGGATCAGCACAGGATGACAGACACAAGGAGAATAAATGGGAACCAAACGAGGAGGCTAACGAGGGAGACACAGGTGGAGCAACTTAAACTATAACGAGGTAACAAGATGGGAGGGGCAAGACAATAGACAGGAGAGAGCACATGGCAACAGACAAACACAACACAAGCCATGTGCTCACAGAACACAATCATCTGGTGGCCCTCCTGGGCACACCCGCTGAAGACTGTGACAAAGTGTACACATAATTTATACATCAAAGGCAGTATGGACATGCCTGTATATATCAGTACAGTCAGTTTATTAGTTTCAGATGAATAAGTTTTTCCATGTTAGGTGATTGTGTGGTATTGTTAAACACACACATGCGGAACACACACTTTCATCCGTGCTTGTACTGACTCTGCGTGAACCAACGTTCTGGATTTTCAGCAGATATCTTTGAATATCTATCTCAGAGTGCAGAGCGGACAACATCCCCTGAAATAACTATTAGGACAGAGAGAAAGAGATACATAGTATGAAGACAAAAAAAAAAACATTGATGAAGAACATATGCATAATAGAACAGAAAATGTGGAATTCAGCAGAGAGGAATGATGTTCATGCTTGAAAATGCCCACACAAACCCACAGCAGCTGATGAGGATCTTCACTCTAAACATTTTATAACCTTAAAAATGTGTTTTATAAGTACTTCCTCCAAAAAAAAGAGGTGTGGAGAAGTATGTGACAGTCCAGACTCCTGCCAAGCACTTATGGGCCATTACGATAGCCAAGAAAAGGACCTGAGATGGTAAATGATGTGTCAGGGGTCACAAACTAAGCATATTGAAAGCTTTCATTCTTCATTTACCCCTACAAAAGAAACATGTTCTAATTCATTTTAACAGCTTTTGAAGAATAATAGTTTAAGTGAATTTTAAATTTAAGGAAATTTGTTTTCTCAAACGTCATTCATCCACATATTCAAACATGTCATATTTGTTTACAAGCCATTCAGGAACTACATCAAGGTGAGTAAATTATGACATATATTCATTTCTGAGCAAACAACAGGAATCCGTTTCAGCCAAATACATTTTAAAATAAGTCATGACAACTGATACAAAGAGCTTTTGATATTTAAATCGGCTGATGCATCATTAAAAGTCAACAAATGTATGAAAGAGCAGATCTCCTGACACTGAAACACCCACACACCTGTGGTTTCTTGTAATTTAGATGTTTATTCATCTCTTTGATATGAGGTAGCAAAAGAGAGAGTTTGAACTAAACCAGATGAAACCGGATCAGAACTTTCCAGACCACAGCAAAGTGTCCTGGGGTTCTTTTGAGGGCAGGAGGTGGGAAATTAGATCCACAACCACCAACACGATGATTTTCAGAGGGCACGCACAAAACAGGAGCTGTCAACCGACTGATGACAATAAAAGCTCAAGGGTGTGTTTGTGCCTGTGTGAGTCACCACAGGTTAGCTTCTATTCTCAAACCTTTTCTATAATTAGTTTAATGCTGCAGTTCGTAAGTTTTGTCTCTTTGTCACCATCTCTGTTTGAAAACCTGTAATTGCAGCTGTGTGCGGAATTGTCTAGCTTGCGTGGGTTGTGCGGCGGCACGGCTCCAGCGCGGATGAATCTATGTTATGAAGAGTATGTGTGGCAGTCAGTCACCGTACCGGTGTGGATATTTACTGTACTTCGCAATCACAGATTCTAGCCTACGTCTTGGAATAT